TTTTTTCCAGGAACGCGAAACATTTAGTAAACGACAAGGCTTAATCGGACTCCGCTCAGCTGCGGAGGCTCCCGCGCCCGGTCAGACGAGACCAGTGGGGCCCATCTGACTCGTTTGGCCATTCAGTGCCCGGTGGGGCGGGGCGGGGCGTAGCGGTACCCAGGGGGACCACTCACCTCGCCGTAATCAACAGGGCCATTTAATTCGAGTTTCTCGCGGCCGCGGCCGCCGTAGGCGCGAACCTCTGCGTATCGGCGGCACCGCCTCGCAGGAGTCGCTATGCTGGGGGTGAGAGAGCGCGCCCGTAGGATCGCGCGCAGCCGCAGCGTGTGAGGGCGAATAAGGTTCCGCGTCCTGTTCCGGTTCCTGCCGATAGTCATCGGGCTGCCAGCTCGGCCTCGGCCAGGCCTTTGGGGGGGGGGGGGTAGGCTGCCTGCTGCTGACACCGCGTCACAATGGGCCGACGACCGCTCGGGATTGGCAGCACAATCAGGTACAATCACATCATGAGCAAAGGAGATCCGAGGGCCGATATGAACGCCCCGCCCGCGCCGCGCCCACCCGGCCTCGCGGAGAACCGCCAACCGCTCCCCAAGTTCAATTTCACGCCGTGTTTAGGGCGAGGGTTCTGGGTTCTGGCCGCGAGGAGTGTGGACCGTGTTTTCGCACTTCACGAACATTTCCGAACCGAGGTTTCTTCTGCTTGGTATACCACCACTCCAGCCAGAAGGAAATGCCATTTGATATCGAACAATGTTTCTATTCGATACTTCATGCTAAAAAGATCGCAATACCTATAGAGAGTTCAGGGCAAAATGCTCGACACAGGATGGCCGCTGTGCCCCGGTAGAGCAAATGCGTGTATACTAGCCCGCATGCATACGTGCGGACGGGTTGCCCATTCGCACGGGGCTGGAAGGCGCCCTTTACCCTATGGGCCAGAGGGCCTATGGCATACCCGTACAATGTTATTGCGACGAACACCATATTAATGCCCTGACCTCTCCGCCCTGTACCTACTTAGTTCCTTACTCTCCAATATGTAGAATAAGAATATATATGTTCTGTCGGTCGCTGTGAACAAGCGAGAAGAATCCCTCAAATGCCGCTGGTTGTTCTTTCCTCCCTCATCCTTTACTCCACAACAACGCCCGCCTCGACCCGCTCCCATGCAGATCCCATCTCATCTCCAGCCATACTTCAAAAGTTTTTAATCTTTTTATTTTCATTCTCTCTCCTGCTCCCCACTCTCCGCTGCCGCTGCCCCTCTCTCTCTCCCCGGGCCGGCGCCGCGCCAGAGGCCCCATCACTGGGCGTCGATAGCGCTTGCATCCATAATCAATAAATAACGATGAGTAGTGTTCCCGAAGGTGTCGAATGAGGATTAATAACCCAAAAACGCGCCGCGCATGACCGGGCGGCGGCCGCGGCGTGCAGGACGAGGCCCTCAGCACCGAGCAGCAGGCGCGGGGTAACCCGGGCGGGGCGTCTGTCTCGCTGCCGGCTTCGCCCGCGTCGACTTGGTGGACAATGCACGTACGTACGAACGTCCGCCTTGGGTCGGGTCATATTGGCCCAGCCCAGCCCCGCCTGCAGGCGCAGGCAGGCACTTCAAGGCTGTTCCAGGCTATGGCGGGCGGGGGGCCCTTGGCCGCCCTGCGGTTGGGCCCTCCTCTCCCCGTCGTGTTCCTTTTTCTCCCTTCCTCCCCATCCATCCTCCACACGACACAGGGCCGGGAGGGAACCGGGGAGGGACTCGGGGGGCGGCGCGGCAACAGGTGAGCGTAAAAAAACGAGCAAACAAAGAGACGAGCGCTCCCCTCCGGGTCCAGCGGCTGGACTCCTCCGGAGCGTCCGCCACCGTATACTCCGGCAGTGCTCCGGAGCCTGGAGGAAGCAGAGCTCCCGCTCACGCACCGTCAATTGATTCGCTCGCTGTGCGTTCGCTAAAACGTGCTCTTAGGGAGTTTCTGCTGTGTTGTTGTTCTTGTTTGCCGAGTGGACTGGCTGACTAGCTGTGCGAGATATGTTACAGAATGAGAGGTTGCAGGGCCCCGGTTGCGTGCGGCGTTCTACGCCAACGGCCTGGATGAGGAACACCCCGCAGCGCCCCAGGAGGCCCACGGGCCCCACCGCTGCGGGGGATAGATGGGGAGCCCCGTACTGGAGCCCGGGCCCGGGACAGCAGGTGCGCACAGGTAGAGGCCAGCGGGACACAATCAACTCGAGAGCCTTCCTAGCGCAGTGGGCCCGGTCCACGTAAACAAGGGCTCGCATTGAGGCTGACTCATTCGACGCCCCTCGACCGCCACGCCCTCCTAATGTCAGCGTCCCACGTCGCCGTCAGAGCCAATTAAATCAATCAACCCCACTACCTCTATACCACCACCAGGTCTCGGAAACATTTAACGACAAAATGATTCTTCATGAAATTAATTATTGTCGCTCTGCGTGTGCGTGTCGTGCTCTGCGCTGCTTGCGCGCGAGAGGAGCGATCGAACGAGGAGGTGGCCCACAGCCCGAATTGGTGTGGGGAAGAGAGCCGGTAAGAGCAATAAGAGCCGTGCCAGCCCTTACGTCGGAATTATGGGCGTCTTTTAATTTGGTCTTAACGAGGATGGACGACTCCCGCCCCGCGCACGACGGCCCAGGCCCAGCTCGGCTCTGTACCTCCACGGCACGTCCTCCCACCCACATACGGCGATCCTTATGCCGCCACGCGGAGGTACGGCAAGCTGCCGTCCTCACCTCGTTGCGCAAGACGCGCGTCCAAATAAATGCACTCACTCTCGGCACTCGGAGAGATGGACCAGGTGGACGGCCCTACGCCGGCCAACGAGCCGTGACGCTGTCGAGATTGATTTTCTCAATACACTACTTCCCCCTCCTACCTCTCCCCCCCCCTTTTTCTTCACTTCCCCCGACCCGATCAGTTACCACCTACCAAGAGGAGAGAGCTCTATAGGGGCCTCTCTCCTGTGGCGTTCCAAAACAAACAATCGACATCCCGAAGCAAATCAGAATTTAGAAGTTGCGTGTAAAATACGGCGATTACCGCAGGTACTAACAGATAAAGGTGGTCTTTCCTTCTTTTTCTTCTCTCTTTCTG